TCCCCCACTTTGATCCTGACATCCGTACTGCTTCTCTCAATTCCGCCTTGAATTCCGGTCCACCATCTACAGTAAAACATTTCACCGCCCCATATCTCCATATCCACTCCTTTAAAATGAAGTCTGCCACTGCTTTCGCCGTCAAATTTTGTAATGCCTTAGCTTCCACCCATCCCGACAGATCATCTCTTGCTACAATTAAGTACTTATATCTACCAGCCTTGATGTGCACTGCATCCAAGCTAACTCTCCCAAACACTGTTGATTCTCTGGTTGCATGTCCTTTCTCTTTCTGGGTCCTTGAACTTCTTCTCTGACAAGCTTCACAAGACGCCACCCATTTTCTTACATCTTCCTTCATATCTGGCCACCAAAATCTTATTAAGCATCTTCTATAAGTTTCTTCTATCCCTCTATGTCCCATTTCCTCATGTAAATTCTGTAGTACAATCTCTTGTCCATCCTTTCTTGACACTACCAACCTCCCACAAGGTACCCCTCTCTTCTTCAATCTTCCCCGTTCCACAAAGAAGGTCTTGGCTTTATTTTGGATCCATTGAAACTCCTTATCAGAACACTCTGGAGGTCTCTTGAATGCCTTCAGAAATTTTTCTAACTGTAACCACATCCCTTCTTGTGTCCATGGTAATAATTCCCCTACGTCTTCTTCAAGATTTGTAACTGGATATCCTTTGTGTGGAGCTATGTCTTTCTTTTCTTCATCAAAGTCCTCCCCTTCTGATGTTGAGTCTTCTCCCACCGGCCTTCTTGAAAGTCAATCAGGCATCCCAAAGCTTTTCCCTGACTTATGAACAATATCATAGGAAAATAGTTGAATGAATGCCACCCATCTTGTCATAGGTGCATTTGGCAGAGTTGGTCTGTTGATCATTTCTATCAAAGACTTGGCATCCACTTGTAGTTTGAAATGTTGTCCCCACAACTTGCTTTGAAATTTCTTCAGAATTCTAGCAACCCCGCATAACTCCAGCTTTGGCTGGGAATATCTTGCCTCTACTGGTGAGAAGACTAATGATTCATAGAATACCGGTCTTGCCTTCCCACAATATCCTCCTGCATTAATACGCCTCCAGCTGCAATTTGACTTGAGTCCACCGCTAATATTATCTTGCCTGCCTCTTCACCATATTCTAATCCTTTTAACATAATATTTTCTCCAATAATTTTCTTCAAAGTATCCACCTGAGAAGTACAGATGCTTCGGTATGTAGCCGACCCTAACCGTATACTGTACGGTTGGCTAGTTGCCGATGAAACCTGCCAGATGCTTGCAGGCGAGTCAGACGATCACCTTAAAGGCACAACATCAAGTTGTACTTTTAGATTTTTGTTTCTCACTCTCAAATTCGTCTATTTTCTGATTTTGAACCACTCAAGTATGCGGGAAACATGTTTTACGTTCAGTTGAAAGATTTCAGGATCCAAGCGCCAAAATTCAGATGCAGAGGCAGATGCATCTGACTTTACACGCCATATACACATCTTCACAACCAGATTCATCTGTATGTGTACACTGCACAGCAAGTACAATACCAGATGAATCTGGATATGTACTTATGCACATCTTCACAATCGGACTCATCTGATCCCAAACACAGATGAATCTCCACCAGCAGATTCATCTGTGTTTTCACACTATGTACATGACAAGTGCAATGCCCGATGGATCTGGGTATGTACGCACTACACCAGACACGTCGGCCTACACAACAACACATTCGAGGTCAAACTAACCAGACACATCTGGTTACATCGGCACGCCTCATCTGAATTCAACCAGATGCACCTGATTCTCTACACACACTGCACACTACAACACCAGATGCATCTGGATTGATCTGCTTCACCTGATCTAAAGTTATCCAGATGCGTCTGGCAAAACTGGATGCATCTGGCAACGTTCTCTACACACTATCAACTTCGAAGCAATGAACCACAGATGTATCTGACTCATCTCCACAGAATTTTCGTGTCCTCCACGGCATCCGTGTGAGACAGATGCATATGCAAACCAACGCTCCTCAACATCAGATACACATCTGCTCATCCTTCCCTCCAATCTCAACATTCATCTGGCTTCTCATCAAATACCTTTGATGCTCTTTGCTTGAATTCAATATGTTTTGCTGACTTGACAAAGCACCTCTCGGACGTCTCGGACAAACTGTTTGTTAAATTGATACATTTGGCAAAGACAGGTTTTCTATGAACCATTTTGCCTGCCTCTTGCTATGTTGATGTTATCAAAAAATAAGATTTTCCTTGAAACTTGGATAAGAATAGGTGTGAATCGATGTTAATAAGAAATTTAAATGAATTAAAAAAACAAAGAGCTGAATAGAGATCAGTATATAATTCACAAAAACTAAATCGAAGACCTTCGAACTAAATGCGAACTAAATGGCTTAGATGAGATAACTGAGATGAGATCACTGCCCAAAGTTTACACATGTTCAATTTGTATATAACACCTTCACTTCAAGATTCAACAAAAACAAAGAACTCACATTCTGTAATACAACTTGATAGATGAGTACGTGAGATGAGATACACAACTGCCAGAAATCTCTTCAATTTGTATACCCCGTTCCACTTCAAGATTCAACGGAAGAAGAACAAGTCGTTAAAAAGAAAAGAAAGGAAAATATTTCAATTTAAATTGAGCGATCAATCAAAGAAAGATCTGACAAGCTTGTTAAGTTTGACATACGATCTGTTTATTTCGAGGTGGTGGTCATCCTTGTCAATTGAGTACTTTGTCCATATATTACGTTGTAATTGATTAACTTTTTATAATTGATACAATTCTTAGCATATATCTCTATGTATCGTATCTTTGTGAAAAAAAGTGAAAATAAAAAAACGATTGATTTTGGTCTTATGAAGGAGGTATCAGACTATCAGATGCATGTAATTCAACTAATCATATCTATATGTGATGCCTCTACTCAGATTCATCTGATATGGTACGTTCCAGAATACACTACTCAGGTTGAATGGCCCTTTTGAGCCATCTATCCAGATCCATCTGGTATATGTAGTTAATTTACCCAGATGTATCTGGATAGGTTGTCAGATCAATCCGATATGCTACGCTCCAGAATACACTACTCACTTGAGCTCTTTTTATGACATCAGTTTACTTTGTAATATACTGTGTATATTGTGTTGCAATTCAAGAGAAAGAAGAAACAACATAAGAGGAAGTTATAAGTGAACGCATTGATCACCTATTTCACCATCACCACCACCAGTTCCAACTCCATCACTATCACCACCGGGTCCGACTCCACCACCAGTTCCAACTCCATCACTATCACCACCGGGTCCGACTCCACCACCAGTTCCCACTCCATTGCTATCACCACCGGATCCAACTCCACCACCAGTTCCAACATCGCCACCATCGCCGGGTCCGACTCCTCCACCAGCTCCAACTCCATTGCTATCACCACCGGAGCCAAATCCTCCACCAGTTCCAACATCGCCACCATCGCCACTAGGTGCAGCTCCATTACCTCCATTACCATCATCACCCTCTTGAATTTCGCCTCCCAGGACCGACCAAGGCTCATTCACAGGAGAGTCCTTTGTGACCATCATAAATTTCTGATCCTTGATGTCCTGAAGCCAATGTCGCCGACCAAGAGTTTTCATGCCATCAAATCCTAGCATGAACTCGCTGATAGACATCGCTGATTGTGTATGGCGGAGAAATTTGAGATTAATTTTATGTTTATCAAACACAGCCGGTAGATCTGGACCTCGTGGAAAACCTCTAGTAGGGAGAGTAATGTCAAGTGCCTCTAAAAAGTTAAAAAAGGTTGTGTCAGTCAAAATTAAAAAGTAGTATCATCTGATATCGTTCAACTGACTGGTCTGTGCTAGCAACAAACTTGTGAGCTCAGTACTTTCGCGGTCTGACTTATTTGGAGGACAAGTGAATTTGTTGGTATTGGTGTTGTTGCCTGCCGCGGCAGCTGCGCCAGCCGCTTCAATTTCCTTGATTTCGGGTCTGGCTTGGGAGTAGATTGGAAAGATTGTCTGAAATTTGATTCGCTCGTCCATCCAGGTGCTGATCTCAGGTAAAGAGGTGAATTCTTCACACCAACCGGTTCCCAAGGTCTTGCTACACCCAATTGTGTAGTAGTCGAAGTCGGCGAGAGCGGCATCATGGTGAAGCTTTGTGAAATGGTAAATGAAGACATAGTCAGTCAAAGACGTGTCAGATTTGTTGTTTGATATTATAAATCAGATAAATAGAAGATAATCCGGACGACAAGTAACATGAGATGAATCAGAAAGAGGAGAGAGATTGAAGATAAAGAGAATAAATGGTCTAGGTCAAAGAGTTTCAAATGAGACATACCTGTTGAACCCTCTTCTTGAACGCTCAGAGGGAGAGCCTTTCTTTTTTTTTTGGGTGAATCAGCCTTGAATCTTTCCCGATCTTTTGCAACTTTTGCCGAATCGACTAGCTTGTCGTATATAGGACGATACAGCGCTTCCTCTTCCGGTGAAAGCGCGGGCACCTCGGGGATCAGGACTTCGCAGTCCCCGGCAGTCTCATGATCTTCTACATTGATTGCTGAATAGTCGGGATAGCCTCCCAAGGCGTGGAAGATGCGCGAAGTGAATATGGCGTATTCGTCATCGTTCAACTTGTCGTATGCTTTACGGTTGGCTTGGTTTCGCATGGCTAGAACCGGACCTGCGTCAGGAGCGCCCCGCAGGGGCACTGGAAAGAAAGAATTATCCAGTAATTAGTTACTTTTAAACAATCATATGTACATTCAGTGCTAAATTGAGCTCGGACTTACTAGGGTTTTTGTAAGCCAACTTTGCAAAGGCTAGGAATCGATTCCATGGATGCGTAGCCCGAGTTCCGCCTGCGATACCGCTATCAAGATAGATGATACAACAGATACAAAAGTTTAAATGATGAAAAAGTGATGAATGAAGATGTTGCAAATGATGTACTTACAGATGTGATTTCAGTGTGTTGAGGTGAATTTGTCCAATCATTGCAAGCATGTGAAGCAAGTGTTGAAAAGCATCGTGAAGCGCTTTTGCTTCGGCCAGGATGAGGGGATTAGGACGAGAGTTATTATCAGCGGTCTGTGACTTCAATTGCTCCTCAATTTGTTGCAACATCCAGAATTTCTTCTGATCTCCATAGTTATGGACAGTAATTTCTTCCAATTCAAGCGCTTCTGAAGGTGATTGTTGGGACCGATTTTGGGGCTGATTGGATGATTGGTTGTTCGGTTGAGTTTGATTTGAAGTTTGAGTCTCTAGCCTACGGCGGCGAGTGTCAGCTTGATCTCGTTCAGCTTCCAGCTGCTGACGCCGTTTGAGTCCGCGGAGGTTGATTACTCCAGGTGGGGTCTTTTTGCGGCTTCGAGTATTGACGGGCATGGAGGGCGCTAGCGATGTGCGTAAGGACTTGAACTAACAAGGAAAAATAAATGACGATGAGAACTTGAAATAACCGCAAAGGTGGATTGGAAAACTGGAAACCACTATGTACGTATGATCTTGAACTCACTAACGAGTAAAAAAGAAGAACAACAAGAATAACCAGAAAGGTGGAATGGAATACTGGAAACCGTGATGTATCAACGAGCTTGAACTAACTAACGAGTAAAAATGAAGAAGAATGAGAATAACCAGAAAGGTGGATGAAAACTGGAACCCGCAATCTACGTACGAACTTGAACTGACTAACGTGTAGAAAAATGACAATGCAAGCAGAAAGTGACCAACCGGAAAGGCGGATTTGAGAACTGGAAAGTGTAAGCCTCTGCGCAGATGAATCTGGTATGTGGAAGGAAGATTGGTCACAGATCTGGCAGATACATCTTCGATAACGGGTGACGTGTACAACTTAACCTACATACAGGGGGCTTTACCACTCATCCTTAACCTAAGTCCCAAATTTTGCACGGTATATCCAGTTAGGGTCAATGAGTAAACAGATTGAGATATCATAACAATATAATTGATGTACCAAATGGTTTGGATTGGATTCATATACATTTGTAAGATTTGAGAACTACATTACCCCTAAGGATGGTGACAAAAAGTTTCACATTTATAGGATGTATTGTGAATGTCAATATCAAGACAAGAAATCATGAGATGATTACGAGAGATTCATGTTATGTAAAGAAATCACTGTATATATAACAATAGTGTGGGTATCTTGTTATGGGTGATTTGCTACAGATACTGATTTCTTGCTTACCAAACAACTTTCTTTTACATTATCTCTTTTGATGATCAAAGAGTATTGAAACCTTCTGATCAAATGTAAATGACTCTGAATATATATCAATACTATAGGGATGGTTTCTTCCAATTGATTTACGTTGAGATCATTTTCATATGCTTCTCAGGTGAGTTGTTTGTTGTGAGCTTTCTACAAAGCTTTTGTATATCAACTCATTGTTAGATTAGCTTAAGATTTTGTTGACAGGTAAAGATTGCTGAACTTACACAGTTGGTGGTACACTACCAGTGGTGGTCTCACACTGAGTCTTCCCTGTTGATGGACTTCAGGTAGCTTCAAAAAGCTATTATTTCTCAACTCAACATCAATTAGGTTGGTCTTGGGTGTAAGTGTAAATAGTTTAAAAACCAGGCTTTCCGTGGTTCTATTTCCAAAAGATGTATAACTCATACCTGAAGAGATTTATTTAACAGTTAAAGATATGCAAAGGAATACCTTGTGTGTTGGTCTCAGTTTGAAACAAAGTAGAATAAAGTAGTGCTGCTATTGAGAGTCTAGTTGAAAGTGTCAAATATAAGTGTTTCACAGTGTTAGTTATTCAATGTTTTGTCTTTATGTGAACTGAAACCTATGCGTGAATCTTTATTTGCAACATCTTTGGTGATATCTGCACCTATGGTATATCATATCTCATATCTATACTCTGTTTTTGACCAGCATTACCTGTTGGATTATGTGTTTGCAAAACAATGAGGTGGTTGACTGAAATTTAATCAGTCATAATAGAATAGTAATTGAATACTTGGGTTATTCTGCTATGTGATATAATTGCAAACATGTAAGCTAATGGGGAGAATGGGCAAGATTTTGGGTGAAGTGACCAAAAAAAAAAAAAACTTTTTTTTGGTTTTTTTGATACCTTTTAGTGAAAGAAAAAAGGTACTTTTTTTTTTGGTTTATCTCGAAAAACAAAAAAGTTTTCCTTATAGACCGTATTCCCCAAAACCCCCCAAAATTTCACTAATAAGCGCATAACTAGTCCATGTGCGGGTGTGTCGGCTACCTAGTGGGTGAAATATAAATTCCAAAATAACCAATTATTTTTTGCAAGTTCAACTTTTGGGTTTGAAGCACAACCAAAAAAGTTTTATTTGTAGTATGTGTTTCCACAAACATGTCAATTTGGGTTCCGCAGGCCAACTGAACGGGCCATAAGTGGTCTATACACCCTTGATTTTACCAAAAACTGTTATAAATATAAAACCCACACACTCCAAAATTATTTTCCAAGTTCAACCTTTGGATTAACTTCAAAACTGAAAAAGTTTTAATTGTGGCATGTGTTGCCGAAAAATTACCAAATAAGACAACATGACCACTTGTAACACCATTAGTGGTCCGCAATACCTTGAGATGACAAACCAGTCTGATTTTTAACATATATCACAGCTGTAAGAATATAACTCCAGTTCAACCTTTGGGTCTTCTTCAAAACTGAAAAAGTTTTAGTGGTGGCATGTGTTTGCGCAAATGTATCAAATAGTAATATGTGCCCACTCATCAGGCCATAAGTTGTCTATATGATTTTATTTTTGAGTGCTCTGTGGCATGAATTTCATAGTCCAATAATTCACAGAGATGACCCAATTTCATCTTGTCCAATTGCTCCAAAAGACAAAAAGTAGGTATTGTATGCTACAATACCTACTACATGGCTTGTAAGATGGCTTTAATTGGGCCCCATTCAATTTACTCCTTAACTCAAAGACCCATAAGATGTGTTGAGGTTGATTGTTGGTGTTTGATAAGCTCTATATACGCATCACATTACATGTTTCTTTCCAAGGGCTTACCACAAACTCTGTGAACTGTGGTGAAATCCTCAGGTAGGGGGCGCATGACAACATGCCCGGTTGTAATGCCTGACAAGGCCTTTTTGGATTGGTCTAATTTTTGACATTCACTTTCTCACATACATATGTATCAACAAGGACTAAAATGAATCACGCAAGACATGTCAAAGGGTGTCAAAGCCACCACTGAGACGTCAATTGGCTTTGACATGTCACTTTCTAGGTGCAATAGGGACTGTCTCAACACTCAATCCGTCAGTTATAGAAACTGGGCTTGAGTGAATCGGGCATAAGCTAACCGGAAGAGGTACTTATAAGTTATAATGAAGCTTTGGGCATGAATAGGTCTCTCTCCCTATTGAACCACCAACATTGTCCGCCAAACCTCTAAGAGGAACGTGTCCGCCAAACCTCTAAGAGAATCAATGTCACTTCATATTATTTTGTAAATATCAAGATCAAGTTTTCCGAGATTCTAATTATCATATATTGCAACAGAAGTCTCTATCTGAAATATGAGCAGTGCTAACCCAAAATCTTGGTCTCGCACTGGGTCCTCCAAAAGAAAAGGTCCGCAACCTCAAACTCCAGCAACACAACAAAAACTCGAGAACGATAAAGCCGCTCAAGCCTGGTGTAAGAAGAAGTGTGACAGTATTCTTAAAGCTATCACACAGCAGCAACTACAACCAACCAATGAGGAAAACCATCCTGACCCGGATGAGGAAAACCCACCTGACCCGGATGAAGATGATGACGATGATGGGCCGCCTATTGAGAATCTTGATCGACTTGATATGAATCAAATTGAACAACCTCACAATGAAGGACCAGAACCTTGTCCTCCACAAACCATAGTCGAATTTTTGAGACACAATACCTACAAGACCAGAAGGATGCGTGAAGAACGTGCATGGGCAAAATTCTTACGACCTATGTTAGTTGCCTACTTGCGATGTTCATACATCACGTCCGAATGGGGAAATCCCACAACCTGGGAACACAATCACTTTAGAGAAGATAAGTGTTACTGTTTGGCAAGCGACAAGAAGACTCGATTTGTAGATATTGTTGATAGAGAGTGTGAGTCATAGTCCGTTCGATTCACTTGGTATCTGTTTTCTGTTGTCTGAGGATTTTTGTCAATAGCACGACAAAAGAAAGAGTTTTTATTCTGTAAATGTACACCAGATCAAGTCCGTCTGATCTCACAAGGCTACTTAGGAGGTTCTCCAACCCGTCCTGAGACGGCTTTTTCATTACGGCTGATACGATCGTATCAATTGACATGGAAACACCGGCCCATTGGTGTACAACCTTTTGCACTGGCGCATGATGAATACCTCGATGCTTTCTGTGGTTTGATATTGATCAATGGAACCAATCAGGTAAGCGCTGCTGTTAGAATCCCTTTTGACAAATAGTATATCAACATCATGTTGGATTCAACAATGTAGCCTCGAAGTTGGAGACGACCAATGGCATGTGCCGTTCACGCATATCGTCAAATTCTGAAGGCGCGCGACGAAATGCAGGATCTATCACTAGAGCTAAGCAAACTACAAAAGATGGCAACTATATGCCCACGATGTTTTGGGCCAGGCGAGACTTCCAAGCGGCCCAATGAGCCCGACTATATTGTTTGTCTAGACGGCAATTTTCAACATAAACGACACGCCGCGGCTAGTTGCAAATATGAAGAGATTCGACTTCAGTACCCATCCCTTTTTCTTACCGAAGAACAAGTTAAAGCATGGGAGCCTGGAGCCAGGCCTGGAGCTAGCACTGTAAACATCATTCAACTTCCCCAATTTGGCAGAGGAAAATGATTAATAGTACAGTTTTTCATAAAAGAATCTAATACTGCACACCTGGGCCATTTCACCCACACTACATATGTGCAGCAAGCTAAGTCAATAGTTGTCTATCATGTACATACAGGTCTGCTCAGTTTTTTGCCCATCAGAATAAATAAATCACATGTTATACCACATGTAACTTTTTCGACTTTGAATTTTTTTTCCCAAAAATTCACTACATATAATTCTGTAGCTGCTCAGGCAATATTGTTGAAGCTCATTTGATGATTGCAACCTTACTCAAACGAATTGCAGAGCCCAACAAACCTCCTAAAACTGTAGGAGTTCTGTATGATATTGGTTGTACACTCGAGAAAGGATTACAAAATGTAAGTCTTTTCTGTTGATCTAAGAATTGAGGATACAATGTATATAACTTGTATCAACCTACAGAATGATTTGTTTGTCCAAGAGCGTGAAAGAAGTCAGCTCAAGTTTGGTACAAGCGTCTTCCACGCATATGTACATCGCTGG